GGAGAGGCAGGCAGATCTCTGTGAGTTCGAGGCCAGCCTGGTCTACAAAGTATCCCAGGATAGCCAAGGTTGTCAACACAGGGAAACCCTGATGCGAAAATCCAAAATAAATAAGTAAACCAACAAACAAACAGATAGGGTCTGGACTGGGCAGGGTTCTTCAGCGTCTGCATTCATGCTGTTCCCTAGCAAGGCAGTGATTGTCCCCCGGAATGGAGACAGGGATGTGGCTGCCCACCATATGGCTGGGTGAGGAAGGGGCTGGAGCAGATTCCTTGTTTCCAGTATTTGACCAAAAACATACCCGACCTAATTACTGCTCCAAAGAGCATCTGGCTGCCCTTCATGGAGACAGAACTGCCACGGTTCCAGAGCCACGGCGGCCGTGAGGTGTGCAGAGACAAATCAGGATGCTCTTGTATTGGAACTGCACGGACTTGGGAGATAAATGAAAGTGTCCAAGTGGGTACTTCAGCTGTGCCTCCTGGCAGGGGTTGAGCAAGGCCAACTGCCCTCTACATCCTATACCGTTTGGCTTCCCTGGTGACCCCTTCCTTCCCCAGAAGGAACCAGAAGAAGTGGCAGATAGGCTGGACGCCAGTGTGTACAAGTTTCCTGATGGTGGTCTCCTTCAGACCAGAGTTCCATGAACTGATTAGTGTGGAGAAGTCTGCAGGGGTCAGGATGACTCCTGCCCTGCAGCATGCCAGGATGCGTGAGAAGAGCATCTATTACCACACAGCACTAGACACAAAGGGTCCAGTTCAGCTGCCAAGTGCCCGAAAAGCAAATACTCACACTACGTTACTAGCATTTTCCGTTTCCATAGAACGTAAGTCTTCCTGCAAAGCTATTAAAGATAGCAGCATTTTTCCTGTTTGATGAGGGCTGTGGAGTTTGCTTAGCCATCCTGTTGATCCAGAGAGGAAGTCAGAAGTAGAACCAGAATCAGACAGGGTGTCTCACTGTAATCCCAGCACTCCAGAGAGGTGGGGACAGGGGAGGGGGAGGGCAGGACACACTGGGGGGGGCACCTAGCCTGACTCTCCCTTAAGCAGGAACCAGGAGGTGAGTCTGCCTCAGGAAGGAAACAGCACCAAGTAGACTCAGGTCTCCTGAGTCTCATTCTGAATTATAACTCAATAGCTTTAGCAAGGTGTGACCCACTCCTGAGATCCCAGCACCGGGATAGCTGAGGAAGGCAGACAGAGCTTGAGGCCTTCCTGGGTAAATATTTAGTGAAGACCTGTCTCAGAGAGACCTCGAAAGAAACAAAAACTAAACAGATACTCATGCAAATTATTTGAGTGACACTTTTTCCTTTATGAAATTTTCAAACGTTTCTGTCTTACTGGGGGGAAAATGACTAACGGGCCAGCCTGTTCTTACAACTCCAAACTCTATCTGCTGCCTCTAGCTGGCTCAAAATAGTGACCTCAGACCTGGGTCTTCATTACTAAAATCCTTAGCCCCACCCCAGTTCCCAGGTCCTTCTGACTGGTTGAGAGAAGGACAGAGGGGATGCTGGGCTCGGGAGCTGCAGTGGACAGATATCTGCACAGTGGGCCGCCTTACACCAACTTCAGTGTGCCTGGCAGCATTCAGCCACGTGGAGCACTGTGGCAGACATTCATGGAGATGCATCTGTATGCACACATGGTCCTGACGTGAATTACAGCAGCTGGCAACAGCAGTGTGGGTAGATTTGTGAGTGATACAAGGCAAAGACCAGGTCAACCACTTATGAGCTCAGCCACAAACATTTTATAATCTCAACAAAGTCCAAGAAAAGCCTAAGATAACCAAGCGTACATAATGCTAATGAGTGGAAAGCCGGGGAGCAATTCGTACCTTGTTATAAAGTTTCAGGTAGACACTGGGAGAAACAATTAATAAATGGGACCTCCTGAAACTGAAAAACTTCTGTAAAGCAAAGGACACAGTCAATAAGACAAAATGACAGCCTACAGAATGGGAAAAGATCTTCACTAGCCCCACATCAGACACAGGTATTATCTCCAAAATATACAAAGAACTCAAGAAATTGGTCATCAAAAGAACAAATAATCCGATTTAAAAAATGGAGTGCAGATCTAAACAGAGAACTCTCAACAGAGGAACCTAAAATGGCTGAAAGACACTTAAGGAAATGTTCAACATCCTTAGTCATCAGAGAAATGCAAACCAAAACAACTCTGAGATTCCATCTAACACCTGTAAGAATGGCCAAGATCAAAAACACTGATAACAACTTATGTGGGAGAGGCTGTGGGGAAAAGGGAACACTTCTGCATTCCTGGTGGGAATGCAAGCTGGTACAGCCCCTTTGGATGTCAGTGTGGCCATTTCTCAGAAAATTAGGAAATAACCTTCCTCAAGACCCAGTAATACCACTTTTGGGTATATATCCAAAGGATGCTCAATTATGCCACAAGGACATGTGCTCAACTATGTTCACAGCAGCTTTGTTTGTCATAGCCAGAACCTGGAAACAACCTAAATGTCCCTCGATCAAAGAATAGATAAGAAAAATGTGGTTCATTTACACAATGGAGTACTACACAGCAGAAAAAAAATAAAGACAGCTTGAATTTTGCAGGAAAATGGATGAAGTTAGAAAACATTATATTGAGTGGGGTAACCCAGACACAGAAAGACAATTATCACATGGACTCACTCATAGGTGGTTTTTAAACATAAAGCAAAGAAAGCCAGCCTACAAACCACAATCCCAGAGAACCTACAACAATGAGGACACTAAGAAAGGCTTACATAGATCTAATCTACATGGGAAGTAGAAAGTAGAAAAAGAGAAGATCTCCTGAGTAAATTGGGAGCATGAGGACCTTGGGGGAGAGTTGAAGGGAGTAGGGGAGAGGCAGGGAGGGGAGCAGAGAAAATGTAGAGCTCAATAAATATCAATAAAAAATTTTTTTAAAAGCTTCAAGTAGTTTCCAAAAGAACTTTGCTGCAATGCATCTGAATTCTGTAAAGAGTTCCAACCTCTAATTTCTAGAGATCATTTAAGCGTCAGCTCCGAGGTTGTTCTTAGATTGTCCCTCAGAAAGAAGCAAGGCCTTTTTAAAATGCACTTTTTCTATTAGCTTACATTCGATGTATAAAATGTCTCCATTATGACATTTGCTCTCATGTTTATAAGGTACTCTGATCAAATGTAAATAAAAATAAAACTTTATTTCCCAGTGATGAATAGAAAAATAGTCAGGCAGAGGTGGAGCACACCCAAGCACAGTGTGAAGGATCCCTGAATTTGAGGCCAACCTAGTCTACAGAGCTGGTTCCAGAATACCCAGGGCTATAGAAACCCTGTCTTAAAAAACAAAATATTAATAATAAAATTTTAAAATAATAAAATGAGTAGGGTGATGGTGGTTCACACCTTTAATATCAGCACTCAGAGGGGCAGAGGCAGGCAGATCTCTCTGAGTTTGAGGCTAGCCTGGTCTACAGAATGAATTCTAGGACAGTCAGAGATATACAGAGAAACTATGTCTTGAAAAACAAAAAACAAAACAAGACAACAACAACAAAAAAAGCCAGGCAGTGGTGACCTATGCCTTTAATCCCAGCATTTGGGAGGCAGAGTCAGGCAGGATCTCTGTGAGTTCAGGGCCAGCCTGATCCACAAGAGTTAGCTTCTTCACTCTATCCACATGTGAAAAAAAAAAAAAGAAAAAAAAAGTAAAAAAAAAAATATTAAAAAAAAAGTGTTAGCTTCAAGACAGGCTCCAAAGCCACAGAGAAACTCAGTCTTGAAAAGAAAAGAATGAAAACAAAAATAAACAAAAAGAAAAAGTAAAAGATTGCGTTAAAAAAGTTAATATAGCCAGGAGGTGGTGTCCCATGCCTTTCGTCCCAGCACTTGGGAGGCAGAGACACACAAATCTGAGTTTGAGATCAGTCTGGCCAACATAGTAAGTTCCAGGACTGCCAGAGCTACACAGAGAAACCCTGTCTCAAAATAAAATAAAATAATAGTAATAATAAAATAAAAAGGTTGGAGAATGTAGCTCAGTGGCAAGACAACACTGCCTACGTCATAAATGGAGCCCTGCGTTCAAGCCCCAGCACTTCAAAGTTGGGTGGGAGGCTGGGAATGGAACAGAGCCCTTATTGAGAGAGCCCTTCCCTGGCATGCAGCTCTGGATTCAATCCCCAGCTCATACACAAAAAGAGTTCAAGGACCCCAAAACATTTCACTGAAGATACACAGAT